TGCACTATTGAAATACTTTTAAATGCAATTAGATTTATTTTTAACAATATAATTGTATTGCAGTAAGTTATTGTTTACTTTAAAAGTACATAACTTGGAGTCCAACTCAATATTAATAGTACACTTTCATAATAGTGAATGGTAAACATAACAGGAATGTATTAAAAATTTAGTACATATAATGTACTGATGCTATATGAATAATTTGTGTAGTTAAGCAATTGAAGATAATTGGTGTGGAAAATAGCTTTTCCATTACATTAATTATATTAATGGAGTTGTCTACTAAATTTGAAATTTGTATAGCATTTTTTGTATTGGATACATTATGCATTCACAATAACTAGCATAATTGTAACCTAAATTGAGGAATAATTTTAAATTTTAAACACCTATTAATTCCTAAATGTACTGCAAATTCATTTATAGATTAAAATAGGTCAACTTAAAATTATAGAGCTACAGTACTAATCAAACGAAAATTCTTTTGGTATCCTGCATTATCTTTAGCAATAATTTCACCCAAATTTGTCTAAGAATAGATAAAGTTCAGGTAGCAGGAGACACAGAAATTAGAGCAGAGAAAGCCTTAGGAAATAATTAGATCTTCAGTCAAAGTTTTATTTACAAAAATGTTCACTGCAACATTACTTGTGACAGCAAAAATTAAAGGTTGCCTACATACTAAACTGGGAGGTCTGGTGGGTAGTGCCTAAGGCATCTGACTGCTAACCAGAACGCTGGCAGTTCAAACCCACCAGCCACTCCTCAGTAGTAAGATTGGGCAATCTACTTCTGTAGTGACACCACCTCACAAACCCAAGGAGGGGTTACTGGAAGTTGGAAATGACTCAATAGAATTGAATTTGATTTGGTTTTTGGTACATACTAAACTGTAGCATAATGGTTCATTCTTTCAGCAATATTAACTGAATCCCTTCTATTGACCAGAAATGCAACTATGAACAAACCAGACAGGTTCTTTTGTGGAACTTATATTCTTAAAGTGGAAGAAGAAGTCATGAAAATAAGGAAATGAACACACAAATCAGTTAGCATTCCAGGAAGAAATGTGTTCTACAAAGTCTATAAAAAGAAACAGATAATAAGATAAAAAGTCATAGGATATTTTACAGGAAGTGATACCAATTTGAAAAAGAATAGTGAGAACATAGCTTTCTGGGCAGGTGACTTTGAGCTGATACCTGAAGAGGAGAATGAGTAACCATAAATAAATCCTTGGGGAGAGCATTTGAGACCAAGGAAATAGCAAGCATAAATAAGTTTGTTGTTTTAGAAAAACAAGAATGGTAGAGCGAGCAAGGAGGAGTTTGATACCAAATGAGATTGGCAAGATAGTAGAGGTTTGATCATGTTGGGCCTTAAAAAGGCCATGCTAAGAATTCGGATTTTACTCAAATGTATGAAGAAAGGTTGGTGTAATAAATAGCATAATAATTAATTTTTTTTTCAGTAACATGGTGAAAGGTTATATATTAAAGGAAAAAATAGGAGCTCTGGTGGTATAGTGGTTAAAGTGCTCGGCTGCCCCCTGAAAGGTCAGGGGTTCAAACATACAGCCACTCTATGGGAAAAAGATGTGGCAATTTGCTTCCATAAATATTTACAGCCTCGGAAACCTTACGGGGCAGTGCTATTCTAATAGGGTCACTATGAATCGGAATCAACTCAAAGGCAGTGGATTTTTTTAAAGAAAAAAAAGCCACGCACAACAAAATGACATATACAGTATCATCAAACTATGCTTAAATGATGGAGGAAATACAACAAATATTTTGTAACATTGACAAATATTCAATAACATTGATTTTGTCAGTAGAGAGTTTTGAGGCTTTCTACAATAAGCTCTGGTAGCGTAGTGCCTAAGGCATTTGACTACTAACCAGAAGGCTGGTGGTTCACACCCACCGGCCACTCCTTGGAAAGACAATTGGGCAATCTACTTCAGTGGAGGTACCTCCTCAGAAAAGGATCAACTCAGCAGCAGTGAGTTTGGAGCTTTTTGGTACAATAATCATGTAGATAATTTACTTTTTAAAGAGTAAAAAATAACATAAGATTTTTATGGATTCATTTATTAATCTTGTTTGTTGTATATTCTCCACTAATTAATGGGTATAGGAAAAATGAGGCTATTCCTTTTGCTCATTTACATATGAACACAACACTTAATGCCCCATCCAAAAAACAGTAATCAAAATTGGGTCATTTGACACTATTGCTTTGGAAACTTTGAACAACTTAATATTGTAAAAATTAGCTGTTGATTCATTTAATCTTTTTTGTTGTTGTTACAAACAAATATTATTCCAAATCCAGATTTTTTTTCAATCAAAAGTAGATATGGAAAATATAACACTGAATTATTATGTGTACTTAAATTTAAAACATTTAATTTTACTTATTGCAAAGATTTATGTTTTATTCAATTGTTTTTGTACCTCTCTCTCTTTTTTTTTTTCTTTCAAAAAGTTTTAGCTGAATGTATCCACTTGAATACCCTTGAAAGCAGACCAAGGTTTGAAATATGTTTTTATTTTTCTGATGAAGTGTACTAACTTGCATGTATATAGCTTTTATTTTTATAATGTGATTTTCAATCTATAGATAAAACACTGAAATGTTTTATTTATATATTTTGTTTTAGTTGGATCATCGTTATAATGAATTTAAACTTCATGCAATTATGTCTGAACATAAAAAAACAATCACAGCAATTTCTTGGTGTCCACATAACCCAGATTTGTTTGCAAGTGGAAGTACTGATAACTTAGTGATCGTTTGGAATGTTGCAGAACAAAAGGTCGTTGCTAAACTCAACAGTACAAAAGGTATTTACTGGGATTAATTTTGCGAATGAAATCTTTTTATTCCAATAAGCACTATTAGTATTATTACTTCTGGTTTTGTAGAAATGTTCTACAATAATAATAGTTTAAGAGATACATTTCAAGTTATGACTCATTTTTGTGTGTGTGCCAGTGTATGAAAGTGAAACAACATGTCATGAAATGAAATGACATACATACTTACTACAAATGATAAGGTAAAAAGAATTAACCAAAAATATAATTTCATAAATTGTTAAATATAACATAAAATTTCCCAAATAAATATAAGAACAAAAATAAGATTTTCTTTTTTCAAAACTTTTTATTGTGATTTGGGAGAAAGGTTACAGAGCAAATCAGTTTTCCATGCAACAATTCATACACATTTTGTTTCATGCCAGTTATTGCAGTCCCCACAGTATAACAGAACTCTTTCCACTTGGTCCATTTCCATCCATCCTTCCTTCCTGTCTCCTTATATTTTGAACTTTGTCTCTGGGCAGGTGTGGCCCTTTTGATCTCAAATGGTTGACTATTCTAAGAAGTACGTACCTTCCTGGTGTTAGTGTTCACCTTATATCTGTCTATTGTTTGGCTGAAAGTTGATCCACAGGGCTAAGTTCAGTTCTAGGTTTAAAAGGTGACTAAGGACCATACTCTTGGGGATTCTATCAGTCCCTATCCAACCAGTGAACCTGATACTCATTTTATATGATTTTGAGTTTTGTTCCATATTTTTCTCCCACTTATCCAGAATCTTCTATTGTGATCCCTTTCAGACCAGTCAGCAGCAGTAGCTGAATACCATCTAGTTTTTCTCATCTTAGGGTCATAAAGGCTGAAATTCATGTAGTCTCTTAATCCTTTGGACTAATTGTTTCTATGTGTCTTTGATTTTCTTCACTCTTCCTTGCTCCTGACAGACACTCATAGTTGCACCTTAGATAGCTGCTCACAAGCTTTTAAGACCTCAGTTGCTACTCACCAAAGTAGGATGAAAAACATTTTCTTTGTGGACTGTGTTGTGCCAATTGACCTTGATGTACTTGACTGTGGTCCTGAGCCCTCAGGCTCAGTGAATCTTTCCCTCAATGTGTTTGATTGTGGCTAAGAAGTTTTCATAACTTTGCCCCATATTTGCTCTACTATATTCATGGGTATATTTTCAGCATATGTAAATACATATGTAGACATATCCTCTGTAATACCTATATATATTCATGTGTGTAGTCCCCTTCACCTTCCCACACCTGTTCAGCACTCATAGATTATTGTTATTATAGTTATTGTAGTATTGCAAGATTGTGTATGCACAGTATTTACCTTTGTTTCCTTTAACTCTTGTGCTCCTCCCAGTGTCTCCTTTTGCCTTGATCATTTTGTGCTGATCTCCCTTTATTGTCTATTGCCTTCCCCTTTACCCAAGTTAATATGTGTCTACCCTCTAGTTTTTACCACTCATCTGTCAGTTTGTATTGTGTTGGTTTGTGTATTGCTGTGAGGCTATAGGCTATGTCATTGGTATTTCAAATACTGGCAGAGTCATCCATGGTGGACAGATTTCAGCAGAGCTTTCAGGCTAAGACAGGGTAGGAAGAAGGATGGGGCCATCCACTTCTGAAAAAAATTGACCAGTGAAAACCATATGAATAGCAATGAAATACTGCCTTATATTACTGGAAAACTTTATGAATAGCCATGAAATATTGCCTGATGTAGGGCCAGAAGATGAGCCCCTCAGGTTGGAAGAGACTCAACATAACAACTTTGCAAAAGCTGCCTTCTCAAAGTAGAGTCTACCTTAATGACGTGGATGGAGTAAATCTTTTAGGACCTTTATTTGCTGATGGGGTACAACTCAAAATGGGAAGAAAAAACTGCAAACATCCATTAATAATCAGAACATGGAATATAAGAGGGAAAAATCTAGTAAATTAGAAGTTGTCAAAAATTAAATCGAACACAAAGATCAACATCCTAGGCATAGTGGACTTAATGGACTGGTATTGGCCAGTTTGAATCGATCACATTGTCTGCTATGCTGGGAATTAAAAATTGAAGAGGAATGGCATAACATTCATCATCAAAAAGAATGTTTCAAGATCTGTCATGAAGTACGGTGCTGTCAGTAATAGGATAATATCAATATACTTACATAGAAGGCGAGTTAATACTACTATTATTCAAATTTATGCACCAACCACTAAAGCTGAAGATGAAGAAACTGAAGACTTTTACCAACTTTTGCAGTCTGAAACTGACCAAACATGCAGTCAAGGTGTATTGATTATTACTGGTGCTTAGAATGCAAAAGTTGGAAACAAAAAGGAAACATTGGTACTTGGAAAATATGGTGTTGGTGATAGAAATAACACCAGAGATCACATGGTAGAATTTTGCAAGACCAATGACTTGTTCATTGTATATACCTTTTTCAACAACATAAACTGCAGCTATATGGGGACGTTGCCTGATGGAATGCACAGGAATCAGATCAGGTGCATCTCTGTAAACAGATGATGGAAAAGTTCAGTCAAAACAAGGACAGGAGCTGACTGTGGAACAGACCATTAATTGCTCATTTGAAAGTTCAAGTTGAAGCTGAAAACAATTTAAAAACGTCCACAAGAATGAAAATATGACCTTGATTATATCCCATCTGAATTTAGGGACCATCTAAAGAATATATTTGATGGATTGAATATCGGTGACCCAAGACCAGACAAGTTATGGATAACATCAAGAACATCATACATGAAGAGAGCAAAATGCATTAAAAAGAAAGGAAAGTAAGAAAAGAACAAAATGGATGTCAGAAGAGACTCTGCAATCTGCTATCGAAGAGAGAGTGGCTAAAGTGAATGGAAGAAATGACAAAATTAAAGAATAGAATGGAAGATTTCAAAGTGCAGCTTGAGAAGACAAGTAAAGTATTATAATGAAATGTTCAAAGACCTAGAAAAGCAAAAGGGAAGAGTGCAAAGAGCACACTCAGCCTGTCTCAAGCTGAAAGAACTGAAGAAAAAATTCAAACATCGAGTTGCAATATTGAAAGATCTAAGGGCAACACATTAAATGATGCAGAAAGTATCAAAAGATGATAGACAGAATGCACAGAGGACTCTACCAAAAAGAATTGGTCGATACTCATATATTTCAGGAAGTAGCATATGATGAATAACAAATAGTATTAGAGGAAGAAGTCCAATCTACACTGATGGAACTGGTGAAAACAAGATTCCAGGAATTGACCAAATACCCACTGAGATGTTTCAACAAATGGATACAGCACTGGCAGTGCTTAATCATTTATGCCAAGAAACTGGAAAACAGCTACCTGGCCTACATACTGGAAAAGATCCATATTTTTGCTCATTCCAAAGAAAGCTGATCCAACAGAACATGGAAATTATTGAACAATATCATTAATATCACATGCAAGTAAAATTTTGCTGAAAATAATAAAAAATAGTTGCTGCAGTAAATTGAAAGGGAACTTCCAGAAATGCAAGCTGGATTTGGAAGAGGATGTGGAGTGAGGGATTTTGTTGCTCATGTCAGATGAATCTTGGCAGAAAGCAAAGAATACCAGAAAGATGTTTACCTGTGTTTTATTGACTATGCAAAGGCATTTGACTGTGTAGACCATAACAAATTGTAGATGACATTGCAAAGAATGGGAATTCCAGAACACTTAACTGGCCTTATGAGGAACCTGTACATAGATCAACAGGCTGTCATTCAAACAGAACAAAGGGATACCGCATGGTTTAAAATCAAGAAGGGTGTTTGTCAGGGTGGTATCCTTTGTCACCATACTTATTCAATCTGTATGCTGAGTGAATAATCCAAGAACCTGGACTATATGAAGAAGAATGGCAGTCAAGATTGGAGGAAGACTCATTAACAACCTGTGATATGCAAAAGACGCAATCTGCTTGCTGAAAGTGAGAATGACTTGAAGCACTTACTGAGGAACATAAAAGAATATGGTCTTCAGAATGGATTACACTTCAACATAAAGAAAACAAAAATCTTCACAACTGGACTGATAACATCATGATAAACGGGGGAAAAGATTGAAATTATCAGGGATTTCATTTTACTAGGATCCACAATCTACACCCATGGAAGCAACAATCAAGAAATCAAATGTTGTACCTCACTGGGCAAATATGCTGTGAAAGACCTCTTTAAATATTAAGAAGCAAAGATATCCCTCTGGAAACTAAAGTATGACTGACCCAAGCTATGATATTTTTAGTCACTTCATATGCATGTGCAAACTGGACAATGAATAAGGAAGATAGAAGAAGACTTGATGCCTTTGAATTTTGGTGTTGGTGAAGGATACTGAAAATATTGTGGATTGCCAGAGGAACAAACAAACTTGTCCTGGAAGAAGTGCAACTGGAATGCTTCTTGGAAGTGAGAATGGCCTTTCTCACTTTGTCTCACCTACCTTCATTATGGTAAGTAAGGTTATGTGTCAACTTGACTGGGCAATGGTTTTGAGTGGCTGGGTAGCTGGATATAGTTATTCCCCGTGATAAGATAGGTAATCAACTCCGTGGTGGAATCTCTTGTAAGCAGCTAAGTAAGCTGACTTTTAAGTCAATATGGAGAAGGTTTAAGGAGCTTTTTGGCACATTTGAATCTTGCATTTGGCTGAGTTTTCATGTCAGTGGCTGTTCTGGTTACCTAGTGCCACTCTGAAAAGAATATACCACAAATGGGATAGCCTTAACAAACAGGAGTTTATTCTCTTACATGTTGGAGACTTTAAGTCCAAGTTCAAAGTGCTAGGCTCTAGGGGCTGGGTGAAAGCCCCTCAACCTTAGGGTCCAGTACTGCCTCCTGCTCCCAGCCCACTGGAGCTAGAGGCATTTCTTCACTCAGACAGCTGCTGGCTGCTGAGGCTGACAAACCCAAGGTTGACAAGTAAAAACGCACAGTCCCGGTGTTACCAAACCACATGGCAGGCCATTAATTTAAGTCCA